CTTCTTTGGGCATGTAACTAGGCCATCCTAGTCGCCTTGAACTGTTTAAATGTCCAAGATTTATATAATTGTCTGCACTTAGTCTTTTGAGGTAGCATATAGCTGAGCCGATCATCTTCAGCTCAAGACTCAGCCTGCCTCTTCGTACCACAAGCTTATTCTTAGTTAATACTTTCTTCAGTTGGTGATAAGCTATAGTCAGACCACCCAAACTTATGGAAACCTGTCTGACTAGCCTGTTTGTAGATAATATAATAGTAAAGTATAACAAAGTTATAGCCTTCTGGTTCCAGCATGTGCGAGGCGTCGGGCCAAGACCACCCAAACTTATGGAACATGTCTTGGTCCTCAGCCTGGTTCATTTCTCCCGAAAGCCAAAGCAGGAGGAGGCTGAGCCACCCAAACTTATGGATCATGCTCAAACCCCCTCGATCAGGAACTAAAGAAACTGCCAAAAACCCAGAGTAAACAAGGCGACCAAGCCACCCAAACTTATGGAACATGCTTTGCCCCTGAAAAAACAATCACGCTCAGCCCTCACAAGTCAGAGCAACCAGACCACCCAAACTTATGGAATATGTCTGGTCCTCCAGGCAATACAAAATAAAACACAACACTGGACCTTCCCAAACTTATGGAACTGGCCCAGCCTTTGGTTGACCCAGTCAAACACATGCAATACAACCTTTCTCCCACCCTTCCCCCAGAAGCAATCCCACAATCTGCTTTCAGTCATACAATAAATGCTGCACTGATATTGTACATGCATTATTTTACTTCGTCTGGTTATGTCCTGACGAGAAAACAAAATCATAGGGACAAACATGCATACGTCAATCAAACTACAGGGGGATATGCCAACATGGGTGTAGTGGGTTATACAGATAAAGATGGATTACCTGATGGTTCACTGCCTCCAGAACCTCGCCTAGGTTCCGGCAGAGCTCCCGCAATCGGTGGGCTGATTCCCCGCAGAGTCTTGCTGCGGTTCGACGGGTTGCAATCCCGCCTGCCGCCTTCCTCTCGTAACCAATAGACTAGACTTAGAGTGAGAAGGGCAGATGGAGAAAGGTTTGAGACTCTCAGATCCAAAGGGGGTGCACTCAAACTCGCGAGAGAGGGCCTTGTTATCTTGAATCGCCTGAGTGCCCCGCAGTGACAGCCAACGTGGCAGTTTGATCAAACTGGAGTCAACCGCTGAACTAGATTGTCAAACTCAACCCCCTGATGATCTCCTAACTCACAGCATTAAGCCCCTCGCCACCACTCTACCACGCTGCAATCAACAACAGCTCTTGCAGTCCAGCCACAGGTGCACGGCGGCCAGCAGTAACAACAATAGCTCCCAGCAGCAGCGGCAGTTACCAGCAGTAGCCCACAGTCACCTGCACCAGTACCCGGCGGCCACAGTCTGCACACACTCAATCAACAGCAGCAGCCGTGTATAGTCAAAAACAGCAGCAACCGTGTATAGTCAAAAACAGCAGCAGCCGTGTATAGTCACAAACAGCCGCAGCCGTTCATGCACAGCCCACAGGAATAGTAGCCAATCGCAGCAGTCAGCCGCAATAAGCAGCAGCTGCTTTGTTCTCTCTCCAGCTGCTCACCCACACGTACCGACTAAACAGTCCTCAGCCGCCACAGGCCCGCGGCCTAGAAGGCACAGTCGACAGATGCTGCAGCAGTTCGCGGCAGCCGGCCCCAGCAGCCGCAAGCAGTAGTCAGCAGCAGCAGCCAACCGTAGTACGCAGCCGCCAGCCGCAGCCCCCTTAGTCAATAATCCGTCCCCACAATCCCTTCCGCCCTGCAACTTCCAACTTTCTGGCAGACTTTGGACTGCACACCCCCAATGAGGCCTGATACTTAAGTATTACCTTGGATACCGAAATATTCCAACACATCTGCTCAGAAAGCAGGAGCTCAGAGACACAGTACTAACGACGACCCAAGTCCGAACTCGAGTGTCGATGAACACATGCATTGGCTACCACCGCAAATATGAACGGAACCCTCTTCTCTTCCCGGCACGCAGTGCCCAAATTGAGATTCCACAGCTACTCTACCAGGCAAAACCTCCCACTACGACCTCGATCATCATCCGCCTGAGTGTATGCAAGCGTCGTTGATACAGCCTATCACGGTAACCAGACATATACCCTCACCCTCCAAATCACTCCTCCTATCTACACTGCTTTGTCCCTCCCTCGTGTATGTGGGTCGCTGCGCACACCTACTCCTCCTCCACTTCTTGCAATCTACCGTGTACCCGGTCACAAAAGAAGGCTAGATTCAGTCGTGACGAAAGGGGGGAGATCCGGTAGAAACCCGGCTGCGAGGGTCGAGGCAACGGCCCCTAAGTGCACGACTATGACCACGACGATGGGCTGAGACGCCCAGCTACTTCGCAAAAAAAGGTGCGAATTGAGAATGACCCTTCCACTAGAATATGAGCCAGATGCACCCTTGGCCCAGACTGCGCAGATAAGCTTCCTACTCCTTAGCCCGCTCCCTGCTACTTCCGACAATAGGATGAGCAACACCAAATGAACTCTCGGGCCAAACCTGGCCAGGTGTCGTGTTCGTAAGCGCATAGCCGCGCGTGACTTCGGCCGGCAAGGTAGGTCCTTCGCTTTCAGTCGATGGAAGATACACCGGCACCCTCGCTCATAGCGAGAACTGCCTCGCGAGGGCAGCAGAAACGACCGCCGTGAGAAACAAGGAGATTGTCCTCAAAGACAACGGTGGGTGGCCTACCAAAGCGTAAAAAATAAGAAGGAATTCCCCACGAGAGCATAGGGCGCACACTGCTTCTCCAACCCCGCGCGCAAAGAGAGAACTAGCCGTTGTTTCCCTCGTCAACGCGAGCCAGACCGGAATGAATCTTTCGCAGGAACCCCGGTAAGTTCACTCCTTTTCCACAGTCTCTTCTTCCTCCACAAGCTTTAATCTATATGGCGCCAAACCCACTGTGTCCTTGCCAAATCTACCCGCACAATCTAACTCGCCTTGCTCCAAGGCCTCAAAAGGGCTTTCGAACGATCAGAATCGGTCTAGAAACGACCGAATCATTCCACTCCCCTACCCCTGGCTTTCCTCCTCACTGCCATAGCTCATCACAGCCCACTTCCTTCCTTACTCCTATTCTACTTACTTCCCTCCAAAACTAACATCGGATTCCAACTCGCCCGACCTAGGAACCTCAGATTTGACCCTTCCCTTGCTCGTTTCCAGTCAGTATCGGAGGAGAAACCTTTTTCTCTGCTCTGCCATATCCATCCCTTCGTGCTATCTCTGCGCACTAACTTCTTTATCTAACTCTAATTCTAACCAACTAACCCCAAAACTAACTACACCATCACAATCGCCCGGGGTCAAAACCCCAAAATCGATCTTTACTTCGCCCGATTCTGTTAAGGAACGGGCGAGTTGTGCTCCTTTCACTCCGCCATAGCCACTCTTCCGCTTTTCACCCTCGAGTGTACCCGGTGTGATCTCCGTCCAGGTTCATCCGTTGCCTTGGTTGCCTCCGCTTTCCACTACTCTAACGCCCATCTCCTTCAGTGCCGTCACTTCGCCCGCTATCGCTCGGCGCTGCCCGGCCAGCCCTCGCTAGTATGCTGCACGCACCCCACACAACCTCTCGTACATATTCCCCTCCATCGGACACATCCTCCCGTGCTACTTCGCCGCTCATCCGTGGCCAGTGGCCGCGAGATCATCGGTCAACCACTCCCTCCGAACCACAACGAGCACGGATGAATCTTCTACCGTCTTAACCCACGGTCGGACGCTCCCGCATGGCTCACGCAGGCATGAACGAGTGGCTACTTGCTGCTCCTAGATTTATGCTTCTTCAGTTCAATGGTCTGCCTCCCTTCTTGCCCCAGCGTACCCCGTTCCCTATGGTACTTGCCAGCTAGACCTGAGGGGACTGGGACTGGATACTGTTGTCTTCTGCACAGGCGGATTCCAACGGCCAGCCCTCAGGTCTTAACCCCGCCGTGGATTCTAGACCGTTTCCATCAGCCCATTTTCGTGACTGCCTTCAGCCTTTCGTTGTCATAGCACCTAGCGGCCTTGACCCTTGACCCTTGAGAGCTGTCGCAGCTACGACCTTGACTTTTGAAAGATCTGTAGCAACCGCGGCCTACGACACAGGCCCCAGGTCCAGCGCCCGATACATCAAAAATAAGAAAGGTAAATAATAAAAAAATTGAAATTAAGAAAAACTCCTAACTAGTGAAGGGGCATAAACGAAAAAAGAAGGCGGGTCTACCGACACTTTCCTGGTCCTACACAAACGGGCCCACGGTCGGGCTACCCCAACAAAACTGAGAAAGATAGTCCCGTGGGACCCTCAACCCCTCAGCCCCTTTGATGCTCCAACGCTCATGTACCGTCGCTCGTTGGCCTCGACCCCTGCACCTCTGCCGTGTAAGTCAAGTACCGTAACCTATAGGGCTAAGCCCAAACCTAATACCAACCCACGCGGAATCCTATATAAAGTAGTGCAACGCCTGTGCTAAAAAATCCTCAGCCACATTTTTATCCGCAATCAGCCCACCACCCCTAGGCGTACCCGCCGGCAAGCACCCATTATGCCGTGGCCACAACATACGTTGGACCTACTGCCAGCCAAGCGCGGCAAAGGCCAAACCTCCTTCTTCTTTAATTCACTCAGCAATCAACCCCCAAACCGGACATCTATGCCTGCGTCATGATCAAGAACGGGGAAAATCACCCACGCGCCTTAACGCCGCGCGCCCACTCACGCGCTACCCTAGTCACTCATCCTATTAGTGTGACTTAACAGACTCAGCCGCGACTCGCACGACATACTTAGATTTTCAAACTTACTTCCTGTCACTTGCAAAAACTAGGGTGGATACCCTTGTCAGGGTATTCGCACCGACAACGCATCGTAGAAGATGCTCCACTTTGCGGTCATACTTAGTGGACTTACAGCGTACCTGAATCAAAAACTTGCACAGCCTCCAATACTCGGTAATATCAAGGGCATATCACTGGTCATCTTCAACTTCTTCGTCGATGACTTCTCCAACACCCTCCTCTTCCGGCTCCTTTGCTTCCTCATCACGAGCCTCATCTTCCTCGTCGGTGCCGTACTCCTTGTAGGTACGGTGCTCTGCAAGATCGAACATAGCATCGATCTTCCCACCATACGGAATCCCCTCCTCGTTGCATATATTCTGCAACGTAATCGCGTCTAAGTCCTTCAGCTGCTTCATGCAATGTTCCTGGAACATGTAGCGTTTCAGGATGCCAATCTTAGCTGGAGTATTCCTCTTGATGGCCGCCACGAAGCGTTCCTTTGTATTCGGTGAGATAGCTACCTTCTTCTTCGTCTTCGTCTTGGACCTGGTCACTCTTGGTGTAAACGTTGGCGGTTTCGCGGTCACTCGCCGTGGAGTTCTTCTCTTAGTACGCTTCGGCTGGAGTTCCATACGGGGACTATCTTCAAAGACGGGCTCAACTCCCCTCTTCCTCTTCTCGTTGATGCAGAGGTTCCAAGTTCCTACACGGATGTCCTCGGTATCGCTACTCACGACCTCGTAATCCGAAAACTCGCCTTCATCGGACTGGTAGGTAACCTTTTTCTTTCCTTTCCAACTCGGCTCCCCCTTAGTGGATAGCAGTACGTCGCGGATTTCTGAGCAAGATTCCTTCATCACTGCTTTCACCGTGATTCGCACGTGCATATCCATGTCCTTCTTCATTGCTGTCAATCTCTCTTCCTCGCTTCTGGCCTTCTCAGCTTTCTTCCTTGCCTTGCGGGCCTTCGCTTCTCTCTCTTCGGCCTCGCGTATTTCTGCCTCGTTCTTCTCAGCTTTCTTGCGTGTTTTTTCCTCTTTCTTCGCCAGGTCCCTCTCGATGTACTCTTTCATGGTCGCCATGCTCTTTCCGAGTTCTCTCACTTGGGACTGCATTCCCGGTCTTCGTACGACGCTGGGTTGTATCTCTTCGGAGAGTATGACCTTCCCCTCCTGGAATCTGTCGATGAGGATGGTCGTGCTCGTTGTGTATCTCGCCATCCTGGTCGCGGGTTCCGGCACTGGTTCGAGTAGTGTCCCTCCTCCCCGCATGCATAACACGTGACTGGCGGCCTCCGGGGTCCGCGATCGAAGTTCTGACCTGGATTGCTTCTGCTTCTCTGTGGCTCGTTCGCCATCGCTTCAAACTCCTCGTCTTCACGTTCGCCAAACTTCACGTACAACTCATCACCCAGCTTCCCTTCCTTAATAGTACCAGTCGTTCAACGAAAACGTGTTCACGCCCTCCGGCAAGCGACTCCAGAGGTGTTCACACGTGCAATCAGTAGTTGATATGATGCAAGTAAAAGACAGTCGAAAACTGATTGTACTTGCTGACAAAACACAAAACGCAAAAAACGATAGTCCTGATGACTGCTGCGACGGGTCCACATCGCTCGGTACACCCGTGCCATTGGTCCTTGTCCCAAAAACAGGACCCGGGTCCGCAGTTGACGGTCGGCTCACATCAGACAGTTCAAGGACTCGGTGCTGGTTCACCTATAAACCAAGACCTATATTGGGCTGTTCATGGATTCGGTCTCGGTCCGCCAAAAAAAGTACCAGACTGATGACATACACAAAAAAACCCTGTCTAAACATAGCCGTAAACAGTGGCAAAACAAAGTACACGGCTGGAAACCCTGTCCCAATATTTGCAGTAAGCAGGCACACGACAAAGCTGTCAACCTCACGGGATGCTCTACTAATGTCTTCCTAAACACCAAAAAACTATATCCACTTCTCTACTAACAACAAATTCTTATCTAATTATAACMRAAAATCAAGAAAACAAATTCTTATCTACTTATAACCGAAATTCGAGAAAACAAAAAGGCACATTACTACCATACTCACTCAACAACATCTTACCAAAAAACCCAAATTGGACTCACTCCACGATGTCTGCATTGGGTCCGGACTAAGAGCTTCTACCATCCTTAGTTGGGTAATCTTGCTCAGTCGATTATCCCCCCTCGTCGGTGGATACCTACATCGCTAGGTTGGGCAGAACGTACCTAGCATATCGACTACGCTATCCCACATCTCGTCTTTGTTCTTAGCGAATCTTCTAAGTGTCCTCATAAAGAAAACCAGACCTTTGATCCTGTTAATTGTTTATATTCATTTTCTATGTAATTAAAAAAAAAAAATCAATAACTCTATTTTAATTAATATTTGCCAAATGCTAATAAGAAAACCAAACCAGCATTTTGCCCCTTTGAAGTTTTCATTGGACATATTTTCCCATAATGACTTCTAAAACATTAATTTTTTGTAGTTAATACATAAAAAACTTTAGAACACATCTAATGAGTGATTATGATTGAATTTTGGTTTGTATATTCCAAACAAAATGATGTTAATCGGCTCAAAGTCAATCAGTAAAAAACCCAAAAAAACAAATAAGCAGAAGAAAAAAAAAAATGAGCATATTATAGATTTATGTATTTTTTTTCCCATCTATTCTCAACATGTGCTATTTTTTTTATTTAATAAAATTAACATAATAAGCAATGGTAATCATGCTAAACAAAATGAAGATTAAAAATAATAATAAATAGAATCAACAAATTGTATTTCCCTTTGAAACAATACGCCTTTGTTTATATGTAGTGTCTTATTGTTATAGTGAACCTGAGCAAGAGCCGTGGCCTTTGGTTTTATAGAGCGGCATATGAAACAAACTCAAGCATTCAAAGTTTCTTGTTTAAAATACTCGAAAGACATCAAAATGGTGTTGGCGATACCAAACAGTATAAAAATTTTACAAAAGTACGTCAAATTATCTATGAACGGTAAGAATTATGAATTCAATGAAAAAAAACCATATAGGTAGGACACTTACTACACATTAGGATGAAGCGTAGGAAAATGTATAAATAAAGCACGACCGCCAAATAGAGAATGAATACATATCTTTATTATTTGTAAGTTGTAACGATTATATGGCCTTAGTAAATGAATCAAATACATTTTGTCCCACATATATCGTACCGATGAAACATACATCGATCGCACTACGGTGGCTTACTATCTTATAGACAGATGCCAATTAAAACATGAATTGCACTTGTTGTATTTATATATCTAGACTTGAATACAATGTCATGCATCTCACTTCACTCACAGCTTATCCTCCTCCTTGAAATGTCATATACGTATGTAGTCCATAATATGACGGAATTAATTATAAAAATAAATTATTTGTATACGTGATCCTATGGGCGCTCTAGTATTTTTATTTATTTTTTTCGGCCTCTCACTCAACTCATTATAAGCTTTTGTGTCGGTTTCATTATCCTCACCGTGGCTGCAAAACTTTATTTTGAAAAATATGGTGAACTTCTTTGTTCGAAATGAAATAAGATATAAATATAAAATATTCATCTAAATGTATATTGCTATTTTACATCAGATTGACTTAATTCGCAAACCTGATTTTTATATTTATAATATTCGATTTATTTTATTTAATTTTAATTCTTGGAATGATATGTGAGATAACATTGGTGAAATCAAGTGTCAAATAAATAAAATACTCCAAGAAATAAAGCTAGGCTACTTGATTGAGGTCAGTAGTCAGTAAACAGGTCTTCAAGCATGATTTGAGCTGGGAAATTAGTTAGATTCGAATGTCGAGATGCTATAGGCACTTTGTGAGGTATCAAACAGGGTCTGAGGCGGATCTGTTTCGTCTGTTTCACTGATTTTTTCTGATTTTTCGGTTGTATGTGTTTCTTGTGAAGGAAGTGGTCTGACTACTGGGGTTATCAAACAGGGTCTGAGGCGGGACTGTTCTGTCTGGTTCTGCGTTTTTCGTGATTTTTTGGGTTTATGTTTTCCTTGCGTAGGATGTGGTCGTATGAGTGGAGGTACTCACAAGGTCCGAAGTGGGTCTGTTCCATCGGTTTTTGTGGATTTTCTGATTTTTCGGTTTTATGGTTTTCTTGCACTAGGAAGTGGTCTGACTAGGTCTGCAGGACCTTGTCACCCGACCGATTAGAAAGTTGGACCCTCGTTTTGTAATCTTTTGCGGGTCGTAGGGTCCGGGCGTTTTTTTCCCCGGGAAGCAGCCGACTTACCTTTTGGCTTCGGTGGGTTGGACACTAGGCTACTCGGCTATGTTTAGCCGAGAAGCCTAGTGCTATTTTGGAACGGCGCGAACTATAAGAAGATACTAGTCGTAGTTAGTTGTCCTTTTGGGTTGGCGGAACGAACGGGGGTTCTTGGGTGTTGTGGTTTGAAGAAGGGAAGGGTTTCTACTACGACTTGTCTTTGTGTGGTTTGGGCGCATTGTGTGCCACTGTGTGTATTGCTCTACAGTATCCATTTCACATAATCATGTGTTGCTAACGTGAACTCTACTGGAGATATCGAGCCGGTGACGAGTGAGTGTTCATTACCTTTGGTACGGATACTTGTTACTTGATAACCTGTTTTGTACTTCAACACTTGCTAGCGGCTTAGGTTGAAGCTGTGTGTTGCAAGGTACAGGTGTGCACTGATGCGTACTCGCAAACTGGAGGTACCGCCACACTAATACATCAGGTGGGCATCGAGAGTAGGTCACGATGTCTTATCCTAACCGCCATGGGGAGGGAGGTGAGCCAAGAGGTGGCGATGACCGTGCGCGGGAGGAACGAGATCGTGGAGCGAGGGGTGATGACCGGGATCGTGGCGACAGAAGGCGAGGACCGGTCTGTTTTAAATGTAATGAGGTCGGCCACTATGCTAACCAGTGCATGAGACCTAGGAAGTACACTGGGGCTGCCCGACCGTCTACGTCCTCGGACTCCAGGCGAACAAGGTCTCTTAGGCGAGGGGATTGGAGATGCGAGCCGACGGCGCAGCTGGATCCAAGTGTGAAGCACCAAATCAGTGATTTGGGGAGGAGTGTTGCAGTGATGCAACAACATTTCGAAGAGGAACGCATTCGGAAGGAAAATCGCTTGCGTCGCAAGCACGAAAAGGAGGAGGAAATACAGCGAGAGGCACAAGCGAGAGCCCTTGCGGAAGAGGAACGAGCTATCCGAGACGCTAAGGCTAAGAAAAAAAAGGATCGATTGAGGCGTGAAGCGTAAAGTCGGGCGGAACTGAAGAAGGCCTTAGGCATGCAATTGGTGATGCAGGTTAGCGAGATGGAGGACAAATTCGTGCAACGCATGAAAAGGGCGGTCGCTGAGCTACAAAAGTTGCCGAGTGGAAAGGGTAAGGAAGTCAAGCAGTTTTCGGACACCGATGTTAGTGGTAGCGAGAGTGAAGCCAGCGTTACGCAAGAATTGAGCGAGAGGACGACATGTTAGGTCATATCGGAGAAGCGGAAGAGGGGACCAGACAAGGTGGTGGGGAACAGCCCACCGATGGAGTCACCTGCTAAGCGTACGCCGAAACAGCGTCGTAAGCAAGCGACCTTTGCCGGAAGGATGACTCGGGCGCGAGCGAAGGTGGTTAAGTCACCCAGATCAGTCAAACGAACCACACCGGTTCGGACTCTATTATCTGCTGCTAAGAGACAAGTACTGGCGTTGACACCAGGATTGGCTACTCCGGACGCAAAAGGCTCCTTGGCGAGATACAAGTATCGCAACTTGGCGATGATGGGTCTGAAACAGCTGGATGCCAACGAGCTGCAACAGATCTGCCGGGATGAGGGGCTACCTTGCGATGGTAAGATTGACGCAATCTTCAATATCGCCAACCATCGCACTTACCTGCACTTCGGCGAGGAGCAGGCACCACTCAAACCGATCGAAACCATCCGTATCGAGGACTCGAAGACAACTAAGTCCCCCGAGGACCAAGAAGATGATGCCGCACGTTGATGTGACTTGCGAGTGCCTCAGCTATGGGCGATTTGCCGTTTCCTATCGAGGTGACGTTGTGAGACGACCGTGATTGATGCTAAGGTTGAGGCTTTGTTTAAAACGGTGGTACTATTGTTAGCCGTCGATAACGCGATACGTTGGCTCAGTAAGTTTGCTAAGACTGGATCGAC